TGAATGCATTATCGCTTTTATAGCTTTTAAGTTACATGAAATCAAATAGTGTCCAGTTTTTTGGGGAGACACCCGGTATTTAAGGTAGATTTGCATTTCGCAACTTGTGGGGCGATCGACATTTTGCGACCGCTTTCCGTTTTGAAATGTGTGCAGTCTAATGAAATCGTTCCATATAATGAAGACTTGAATAGTTATAAGAACCATATAATGTCAAAGTGCATATTTCCACCGAAAGTGCATATTTCCACCGTTGAGAATTGGGTCTAAAACTATTGAAAATTAACTCCCTGTACTCTTTAGGACTTAAGTTGATGAATTGAACTTCAATAAAATACCTGCGTATGCATAATTATCATAAACGTCTTGTAAACCAGCCCTGAGCTCATTTTTAAAATGACACGTTCGTGATTAATTGCTAATCAAAATCTAAGTTAGTCCATTATGAATGCAATGATCTTTATTTCATTGCGAATCTGCGATAGCTTTTATAGCTTTTACGTTACATGAAATCAAACAGAGTCCGGTGTTTTTCGGGACACCCGTATACAATTTGATAATTAATCAATTTTAAGATTGACCTTTACGGCAGAAGAGGTCGATCTTTATTCCTTTATTAGCTATTAAAAAGTAGCTAAATCATAGTGCACAAGTTGCTCACTTGCTCTAACTTCGAACAGCTAACAGTTGACTTGCGGTTAGCGGTTTGCCGTAAACGTCAATCTTAAAGTCCCTAATAATGCTAATATATATAATACGTCGGCTGAAATAAAACGTATTGAACCGTGATTGAACGAAACGCGATCCAAATGACAACTTAATTTGTTTGGGATCAGATTAACCGTAACTCCTTTACATCTTTCAAACGTTGGGGCTTAACTCGAAGAACAAAATGTTTGACTTTGCTCGAGTTAAGCCCCTATTTTCTAGAGGGCTTAACTCGAAGTACCTAACTCCAGTTATGTACTTCGAGTTAAGCCCTCAACGGAAATGGGTGTGGCATGGGCGTGGTCCGGGCTTAGCTCGAAAGGGCGTGGTCGGGGCTTAACTCGAAGGGCTTAACTCGAGGGGCTTAACTCGCAACCTCGTTCCCAGGGTCTCTCCGTCTGTCATCTGGGAGAGACCCTGGCTGCGGCTGGTCACGTGCCTCCCAGATTCTGGGAGGTAAATTTAATTGTAACTGTGAGAGGGGTGGGAAAGGAGCGTGTTTGTAGTGTTTTATAATTGCAACTTTGGGTGATGAAATTTACTGTAAATTTGCAACAAGAAATCGTAATTATAAAGAGAACTCTTGAATTAATATTTATATCGTGACGTTCTACTCTATAATCTGGTGTCGAGTTACAATTCAAGCAAGTTGGATCAGATTTCATTATAGACTTGCCAAAGAAAGCACGCTTGTGCAGCGTGGCAATATTAAACTGTGATTAAACCTACAAGAAAATATATATCTCTAGACCGAACAGTGTGGTTGTTATTTATTTAGTATTAAAGTTTATCCTGATACTCGGACCAAAAGAATTTATTTATTGATGAGATGCGGAATTGCAACGAAATAGCGAAGTCTTTTGATTTCCGAAATATCGCCAACTGTATCCAGATTGTTGATCTATATAAAGGCCTTATCAAAAAACTTAAAGTCCGTCAAAAGACTATAAAATTGGCCCTTGGCATTGCTGAATCCAACGATCATGGTATATGTCAAAGTATAGCTGTCTGTTGAAAATCTACGGTATTAAAATCATACACCAAAGATAAGTCAAACAGCAAATTATATGTCACTATATTATACATGTCTTTCAATGAGCACTGTTTAGTAGTGTTCACCACCTTTATAAATTTTGTAAACAGCTTTCGTTTTGACATGAATAAGCTTTAATTTTTTGCTTTATATGCATTCTTAGTATATACAAGTGAGATTTAAATTTTTGCTTTGTGAAATAGAATACCGTTATTTTTTAATGGACAGCTTGCATCGTCTATCATATCCAGGATTGCTTGTGTGTAAACGCATTATTCACTATATGACACTATCAAATAAATATAAGTAGCAAATGATTAATGAATTAGAGATAAACAGGTGATTCACAATGAAAACTTTAAAAATGTTAGTAGAAGTAGAAAACTCGAAAATTTATGTCTATTCGTATGACGCCAAATGACGGTCTGTGCGCATCTGACACTGTAAATTTGTGATATAGATTATAGTATATTAGCACAATATAATGATTAATAGAGACCAAGAAAAAGGCTAAAGTCTTACTATAATTACCGAATACGAATTTATGTAGTAAATCCAGATAAATCCTGAAATTTCCTCTATGCTTATGGACATTTCTCTGTTCGGCTATTATCAAATGTTTACATTTGCTAATATTTGGGCCAGTCCTAGACAATACTGTTTCTTTTAAAAATCTTATAAACAAGACGCGTAGTAACAAGTGAATCGGTGCAAAGCGTATCAACGTTTACAAGAAAGGACAAATGTAATAGCCTATTTTAAAAACATCACAACAAACGTTTGTTATAACCGCGCTCGAGTGTGAAGAGAGCATGCATTGAATAACAACACGAGAGAGCACTGCGAGTAACGATTTGCTTGGTTTCTTGACTTGACTGTAAGTAAGAATGTAAGAATGTTCTTGTAAATTCAAAGCAAAGAAAATAAACAAAAATTAGCAAGTATTTTGAACGTAATAATTCGCAAAATCTATGTTTTTAACGAATATCCCACTGGAAGCATGTTGATGTAATTTGATACTTTCCCCACACCCCCTCAGGCGCTAAATTTTTGATGAAGCACGTGACCAGCCGCAGCCAGGGTCTTTCCCAAAGAAAGATCCTGGGTACGAGGTTGCTTAACTCGAAGATTTGCTACCCCGGATAAAGTGCAGCGTCAACGCACGCACAGCGGACATTCACGTGCGTATGCGTTGTGTGAGGTTATCTGTAGGAGTAGGAAGGTATCAGATTTTCCCGTCCGTAAAGCCACAGGTAAAGCGGTCAGTATGCATCCCTTCTGAGAACGTCATATTTTCGGCTTGGTTACGTCAGTAGGAGGAGTAAATACACACTGAGCTGTCAATCGTGCCATGACAACCAGCCTTACTTAGCGCCTTTGACGTCAAATGACGTATATCCCATTCTGCTTTGAAATAAACCATGTCTGCTGTTTGGAAAGACTCGATAGGTAATCGCCGAGAGCAGTTCTCGTAGTAAGCGTGGCTCTGTTCTCTTCTCTTGTAGACGTAGAAAGCTTTATGCAAGACTTGAAATGGGAATGGCGAACGAATTAAGGAAAAACCCACTACGGGTAGGAATGTACGATATCGAAAAGACGATTGGAAAGGGGAATTTCGCTGTTGTGAAATTGGCGCATCATCGTACTACGAAAAGTCAGGTTCGTCTTGTTATTGTGTGTAGAATTTATCCTCGGCTTTGAGTATCATTAAAGCCTCGTTTTTTGTATAAACCCACTCAGTATCTTTCATTCGCTATGTGATAATACTCTTTTATGTTGGTTTCTTCAACAGGTAGCGATAAAAATCATCGACAAGACTTTGCTAGACGAAGCGAACTTGAAGAAGGTTTACCGCGAAGTACAAATTATGAAACTGCTACATCATCCTCATGTTGTTAAGTTATACCAGGTTAGTATTGATATATATGAGATCGTATAAATTCATAGATCAACTCAAATACTTATTTTGTAGAGTGGTTATAATGTTGTATAAATAGTGTACGTTGTTCCATGTCGAACGAACAATTTGTATTAAACATCGAACACAATGTAAGTATGTATTAAACAGGAATTTCACATTCTAGGTGATGGAAACGAAGAATATGCTTTATTTGGTGACTGAATATGCCAGCAACGGCGAAATGTTCGGTGAGTTTTAAATCTAATTGCACACAAAATGACCTGGCCAACGACATGCGGTTTTTGCGTCTTTACTGATTGTAGCCGAAAGCGAAATTCCAGCATCCTGTTAATTTCGACTTTGACGTAAAAGCAACTTTGTCTAGGCAGGGGTTTCATACTTGTCTATTAATCATACTCGAATGTTCCAGATGAATTTAATTTATCTTAGTTATAGTGCTTTATATACTGTCGCGTGGTCAGGGACTTTGCGTGACAAGGGACGGCAAAATTCAAGCACGTATCAAGCATTTCACTGTCGGTTATATTAAATTCTTGACCAAAGTTTGCTTGGTTTTGCGAAATGCCATACAACAAGGACTTAAGGACTAGGTTTAAGATTTACAACGCATGTTCATTCGCCTATATATTAACACCGAAGATTGCCTATGGCTAGCTGATATATCTGCTTTACAAAACACTTAAAATATGTGTTCTTCCCTGGCTACACGGCACATGAAGCACAGATTTTTGTGATAATATTTCGACTTCATGTACTATAATAACCATTCCTTACACATGTATGTATACCTCGACTTGTCTGAGTTATTTGTACTATTTTGGCATAATGCTCAAGCATTAAAACAGTGCATGATAACTACGTGAGACCAATCTTTTAATACGTCGACGTTTTTATTGCTAGAATATTCTAGATGAATTTTAATTACACAGATATTACATACTCGGTCATCCTTTCTAAAATTAAAAGCACACTAAAGTTTAGCGCTACAAAATGTTTTTCGTGCTTATTATAGGATAATGTTTACCACTAAAAGCAAGTAAATAGACATACGGTAAAATCATCATGAAGCTATCATGTAATTTGGGCAGAAACTTGGGTGCAGTTCGCCACATTCCACCTACGTTTTCGCTTTCGAGTTGCTTAATTTAGAACTGAGCTATGTCTAGCACAGTCAGCATTTAACCTCACTAAACCAAAGTGTAATATAGTGCTTATTTTTTCCAATGATGCTCTCAACTTGCATCTATTTACATACATACATTCATTCAGTGATGACTGATAGCAGAATATTTTAACCCATTTAATCATCAAGAGCACAGTGAGCATATAAAATATGAACTGACAAAGTATGGCTTATTGGGTTAGCTATAAAGACATGGGCACATAGGTTAACCCATTAATGACCAGTGTTAATGCCAAACCCTTTTCCTTGATGTGAAAGGTTGTCTGGTGTATAAACATAGACAGAGTAAAGTTTCAAGCAAATTCCAAAACTCATGACACAGAAGAGCACTTGTACACAAAATATTAAATTTAAAGTCTGGATCAAATGAGGATGAGAGTACATAAGAGTTGGTGCAGTCTACGACCTTTGTATTTTATTTAAGTTAGAACATAGTTGGAACACTTATCAAACCTTTATTTTGTTCATTTAGAGCTTGAAATGCGAACAATTTGTGACTGTCAACTCTCATCCGCTTTCATTCTCATTTAACTGGGGTTTATAAGTAACACTTTTGAAGGGCATATCAAAGTGCATTGCAGCTCATCATACATGAAAATTGTAGAAAAAGGAGTAGTTCCTGAAAATGTCTAGAAATGCACAGGTTTTGTAATATGTATCCCTTCCTTGTTTGATTTAGAGCATCTCGCAAAGAATGGTCGGATGTCAGAACGTGATGCTAGAAAAACATTTGCACAGATACTCTCTGCTGTTGAATATTGTCACAAGAGGCATGTCGTTCATCGTGATTTGAAGGTAATTATTGTCAGGATACATAGACACTATCATATGCAACAAGTACGTGTTGCCATATGTTAGTACACAAAACTGTTTTTCAGACAGGTATTAAAGTAAAACATGTACCTTTTTTGTTTTGATTCACTTAACCGCACACTGATGCACCCTACTTTATTAATTTACTCTCTAACGAACGGCAGATGATTTTACTTGTCAAGGAGAGTGCTCCTGCTCAATAGGTTATTAAACAACCTATTTCTACTTGTTTATAAAGCAATTTATATTGTTTACATCCACCACTCACATAAACAGCTTGTGTTTACAAATGTAATGATAGTTTGACTGATTTCATCAACATATCCACACCTTCCAGGCTGAGGAAATTTAAGGCTACCTCCCCCAGTCCCCCTTTAGGCCTGTTTTATACGTCAAATTTTGGTTGCGTTGAATGCAATTAAGACAATAGATAATGAGATTATAAACCTCATTAAGCTTCATTATCTATTGTTACAGTAGCACCAAAATAATTAATTGTATGTTTTAAAATTTCATTACTGTTTGCTTATAGTCATGATAATGTGAATAAATGATAAACCTCTTGTTCTTATTTATTTTAGACAGAGAATTTGCTATTAGATTCAAAGAATAATATCAAGATAGCAGGTAAAATGGCATTCCTTTATTGAAATTTAGCAACTACACTTCAACAATGATGTGACTTAAGCATTCTTGTTTGTAATGATTTTAAATTGTAACAATTATTGTTATATCTTTTATAGATTTTGGTTTCAGTAATCATTACTCTCCTGGAAGCATGCTCAATACTTGGTGTGGAAGTCCGCCATATGCAGCTCCTGAAGTTTTTGAAGGCAAAGTTTATGATGGTCCACAACTTGATATTTGGGTAAGCATCATGCCAGCAAACATGCTAGATTTGGATTACCTTTCTTTGTATACATATATAAAATATGTACACATAACATCTGGTGCATGTTGTAACTTTTTGTTCTCTTATTGAATCATGAATTTATTCTATTATTTTCAGAGCCTTGGTGTTGTATTATATGTATTAGTCAGTGGCACATTGCCTTTTGATGGCAAGAATCTTCAAGATTTACGAGATCGTGTACTGGAGGGCAATTTTAGAGTTCCATTCTTTATGTCACATGGTAAGTTTTGATGTCAAACCATCCCTTGGTAGAGCTAGCTAGCTATGTGATTGCTCTCTGAAGCTTTGCTTTGTTTGTTAACCCTCAAACAGTGATTTACATCATGCCTTGGTTCATCTAATATATTGTTTATTGTTTACGTAATATTATCTTATTATGATACTATATTTTTGGGAATTACTATCCACTCCCTATTTAACACAAAATTGACCCATGGAAATGATTTACCTCCTCAACTTCATTAGAATTACAAGGTCTGATTATGACAGCAAACTATATACAGTGAAAAACATTACAATCTTTTAAGACAAGTCTAGTTAATTGGTTTGCGTAGTAAAACATATTTGTAATTTCATTAATTCATTTATATTTACTTCTTGCAGAATGTGAAAACCTTATCAAGCACATGCTTGTTCGAGATCCAAAACAAAGGTATACTATTGAACAAATCCGCAATCATGAGTGGCTACGAATGGATCCCTCTGTCCAAGTGACACTCAACATGAACTGTGATTTGAACAGTGAAACAGACAGTGAGCCAGAGGATTTAGAAGATGATGAAAGAGTGTACAATGAACGTGCATTGAGATTGATGGAAAATCTAGGCATTGATATCCCTACAACTAAAAAGGTAATTATTATTTATGAAACTTAGCGTTCTGTTGTAGTTACAATCCAAAGTAGAATGCCCTTGTTTAGTCTAGGAAAGATTAATTATTGCATGCATGTTTACTAGGAAATACACATAACTCGTAGATTTACTGACTGCAATGTAAAATGTTAGAGGGAACATTTAACCTTTGAAAAATCCCAAAATACATGAATTTTATGGTAAAATATCAAACATGGTGATGCCACTTCATTTTCGGTTATGGGAATTGATCGGTGTTATTTAAAGTAGGAGAAATAGACGTACAGTACAGCAACCTTACGATTATTTCATTTCTTTCAGGCAATTAACAACAGAGTGTATGATCATCACGCAGCAATTTATTACCTCATTGTTGACAAACTAAAACAACATCGTTCTAGCTGTCCTGAACAAGATGACGTTCAAACTCAGATACGACGACCAAGTAGTGTAGCACATACTGCCATTGTTCGCTCATCATTCACCTGCTCTACTGCACCTGCCCTCCCTCAAGCTGTATCAGTTGCCAGACGACCAAGAAGCTCTGTACCTGTGAATCCTATGGAATTTGGTGGCTTAGAAGAACGAGTTCCAACTCCGCCAGATATTAGACATGAGATCCCTGGACTTTGTCGTCAATTAATGAACAATAGCGTCCGACCACCAGCTCGTCGTATGACCCACACTGTACCGCAGACTATTCAGGAAAATGTCGAACTTGACCGTGGTAATGTACATGGTAATACTATACCTAACGTGGGTAACCCTCCTGCTGCAGGGCGAAAACGGCGACATACTGTCGGTGTACCCCCACAGGGTACTATCAGCGTACCATCAGATCACCCTCTGCTCGCAGGGGGCTTATCAAACACTAATAATACGATGTACCAGATTGATCCAAATCCTTCTATAGTGGTTTCATCATGTGACCGGGTTGACTTCCCTTCTGCAGATAGTGGTTTTCATTCATCAAACATTGGAGAGCTGGTACAGGGACAGGCCACACGCCGCTTTTCTGAGGGGAATAATCCACACCTAGAGTTTCATCAAACACGAACTTACTGCTCATCTTCTCCGTTGCGATTGATTCAGGAGGAACACCAAAAACTACAAGAACTGTATCAACCTTCTCTTACTCGTGCACAAATGAACGAGCAACAACGTCTTCACATTGTGTACAAGGAAAAATACACGGAAATGCAAGATGAATTAGAAAAGCAATATCAAAAAACTGTTCAGAAAGGTGAAACGGAATTAACGGATTCCAATCCGCTTTCATCGGAGTTTCAAAAGCTACAAATCCAAAGACACACTTATCAACCAGTTATAAAGTCAATGCCGCACAAACGTGTACCCAAGAAAATTTCTCCATATTCAATACACAGAACAATTGAACGAATAGACAGTGATGATATTGAATATCCTCCGTCGGAAACGAACGACGATTACAGACTTCTGTCGTTATAATTTAGGGTGGGAGGTATTAATGTGGGTCGGGTTTCTATATATGTTTTGGGTAATATGTGAAACACCACGGTTATTTATCTGACAAAGAATGTTAACTTAAGCGGAGGGTTTCCGATTTGGTCACGATTTTCACAACTACTCTGAATTTTTGCACTTTAAATGCAATGTAAATGATGGGCTATTGCATGAGAACACGGTCGAGATAAAAATGAGTGTGAGATTATTTATAGAAACAAATGTGTGAATAAGTAGAAATTATTGGATATCTGGAATGGACACCGTTTTGTCAGATAAATAACCAAGACGTGTAAGTAATGTGCTGTAGGTGGCAGAAGCTTTGTCTTTGTATGCTTTATTTAATGGTAATGTTCTGAATGTTGTATTTATAAAAAAAAACTCGTATCATGTCTCTGAGGCTCTGTTGAAACGACCTTAAAGGGAAATGATTGACTTTTATTTTCTATTGAAAATGGTAAATTGAATCGGTTGTTCATATTATATTTTGTACATATCTATAATTAATATTGTAAGAACAAAGAATTAAAAAGAGAATATATATATATATATTATATGGTTAAAGTATAATCCCACTGATTGGTATTACTGGCTTTAGTTCAATGTCAATGAACCCGCAATCAGCGTAAGCCAAAGTAGGTCAAAGCTAGACTTGCACTATAAATTCGGCTACATTTATATGCTTTCCACAATTTTGTTGCAAGTTAGTTGCAGGGGCTGCACCCCCGATGATGGCCGCAAGAGGACCCGCTAACGAGCCAAATCTTTCCAAGCGTCTAGGAGTACTCGCAAACCTATAATCATCTAAAAATCCTTTTTTTCGCAGTTCATTACCTTGTAATACCTATCAGGCAATTGGTTTGAAATTTCCAACGAACATGAGCTAAAACTTGGTTAAGATAGTTTAATTAACTAACCCTAAAGATATTGCAGAGGTTTTAATGATTATTTTTCAAATATTGGCCCAAATTTAGATATTTCAACTTTGAAACATGTGTCAAAAATTGCTGAATCAGAGTTCACTGCATTCCAGCCTGTCACGGTCAATCACGTCTACCAACTTCTGACTGTCTTTCAAGCAAAAAGCCACAGGTGTCGAGGGTTAGGTTAAAACGCGGAAGCGGATGCGGAACGGAACGGATATGGGGTTAAAATGCGGAACGGAACGGATATGCGGAACGGAACGGAACGGATATGGGGTTAAAATGCGGAACGGAACGGATATGGGGAACGGAACGGAACGGATATGGGGTTAAAATGCGGAACGGAACGGATATGGGGTTAAAATGCGGAACGGAACGGATATGGGGTTAAAATCCATCTGGTGGACGGGAAATCTGATTGGTTGATCAGCATCATGAAAGATTTTGATTGGTTGCAAGTTCATATAAACAATGGTTTTAAAAATAGCTCTGTCAAAGCGACAATTAAGCCGGTTAAAGACGAGCAAGTTTTCTTTAAGAATCTTTAAAACCCGGAATGAGAAAAGCCGGAATCTTTAAAACCCGGAATTATTACTGTAATTACTGTAATAATTTATTAATTTAATAAAGCCAAGTTTTGGCGGCATTCCTAAACTCTTTGCGCGTCGTGTCAGATCCTCGAACAAACAAGTAAGCAGTAAAGTAAAGAACCTCAAAAAATTTTGTGCAAGGCTGATATTCTATTATTCTGGAGGAAACACAGTGGGTTAGTTTTTATAGCGAATACTATTATCAATACTGTTGAATTGAAGCTCGATTTTTTATATACGTCTGGCAGTATACCACATCATTTTCAAAATACTAGGCCGTTTCAATTTTAATAAGCTTTCCACCTGCGTCTGTCACTATAAAATGTTTTTAACTACATATTATGAAAGCTTCAAATGCGTGTGCTTACATGCGCAGCAAGGCGAGACTTTTGAACTTTTGAAAATAGTTTTTGAATTTCCGTGGCATGACAAAAGTTTGTTGCGAACGTTTTCTCAGCGAATTTTCTACTAACCTGCAAATATAAATTCCACTAAAATGTAGGCATTTTCACAAGCTTTCAAAACATCCACGTTAGGGGTGTATGTCGTTAAATTTCGAATTAATATAAGCGATTGAAACTCGTGCCTAAAATCAGACATAATATATATTCGGCATAGTACAAAACATGGACTGGACTGGACTGGACAGTTGGACTGGACTGGACAGTTGGACTGGACTGTTGGACTGGACTGGACAATTGGACTGGACTGGACTGATTTTTGATTTTCTCTATTCTTGATTTTCTCTATACGTCACCCGCCATGTCAGGTGGCATGGCACAAAAGAATATTTATCACATAATAGATATACCATGTCTATTTTGTGATTTTATCGATGAACATTGTCTGGTGTGTAACAGGAGGAGATTGGTTGCAAGTCATTAATATAACGTTTTGCACCTGAATTACTTTCGGAATTGATTTTCGGAAATTGGAATACTTTACCTTCGCCGGTGACCTCACTTTATAACTGGAGAGAAATCTCTTAAAGCGAAAGAAACCCCAGTAGGTAGAATAGAATAGAATACAATACCAAACGTAAACTACTTATCTGTCTTTGCTATGGGTAGCCAGCTCGCATACGTAATAAATTTCGATAGTTCAGTCTGCATGGCCATGGGCGTAGGAAGATCGATATTTGGGGGGGCTCATCCCCGAGCCGACGGCGCGAAGCGCCGTGCGAGGGTACTAATTCCCCCCGGCTATTTACACCCGGGGAAACGAAAGCATTAGCGAAGTCTAAAGTTCATCAAATATCGCGGGCGTGGCTCACCAACGAAGTTTCGGTGGGTGGTCATCCTCACTGATCTCAAAATATGTGGCGGACTGTCATGAATAGCGAAAACTGATTGGTCCAATTTAAAGTTTGCATTATAACACAGAGTAGAGACATACAGAGACGTAACTAGTGTACCCACTTTTTTTGTGCGCATGCTCGGCAAGTTACTAGATGCATGCATCTGATTGGATGACGACCTGATGACGACTCACTTTAAACTTGCTGAGCACGCGCAGTTGATCATTTTTCGCCTGATCGCCTGAAAAAAAGTGGGTACATGATAACGGAGGTCGGGAATCTTCGAGTTAAGCCCTTCGAGTTAAGCCCCTCGAGTTAAGCCCTTTTCGAGTTAAGCCCCGACCACGCCCTGTTTAGCCAAGACCACGCCCTTTTTCAAAAAGGGCTTAACTCGAAGAACGAAACACGATTTGGGTTATTCGAGTTAAGCCCCGGGGCTTAACTCGAAGTTTGACAAAAAAAGTTGTTACTCGAGTTAAGCCCCGACTTTTGAAGTATGTCAACGAGTGCAATATTAAATTGTCAAATTTTCAATACAAAAAAGCCAAAGCACAGAAATTTTCCCAAAAAAAACTTATATATCGCTAATGTAATACGATTATATAAAAAACAAACACAACTATTATCGTACTTTAGGTATATTTTAGGTTTTTCATATTAAATTAATATTAAATTTAACAACAGGTAATTACTTTTAGTGAATCGTTTATCCACAACAAAACAACAAAACAATATTTTAATTATAAAGTAGATAGAATCCTAACTCGTTCCTTTTGCTTCAATGTGCACAATATCGACAAATTAACAGTTTTACTGTAACAGAAAAGGTGCAACCTTCTCCCATCACCTTGAACAAAACTAATCTATTAAGAAAATGACCGAAAATGACAGCACGTAAAAACTAAAGAAAAAGGGAGGAAAGGGAAGGAATTTCGGTATAGAATGATCTGTCTTTGACAACTTGCGCCCAGAGACTCGCGCCTCATACGCACATGTACAGTAATTTTATTAGCCAAATGGTTATGAATGGCGATCCACGAATTGTTTCAATTTGGGTAAACAAGTTATCACGGGGAAAAATTGTTACATTTGAGTAAAATACCCAAATGTAACAATTTATCCCCCTAATAATGCCGCTACGTTGACTTGTATTATTAAAAAGGGAATATTTGCTGAGCGATTAGTAATTTTATAAACGAAATGATGGCGTAGCGCCATTAGTACGGGGATAAATTGTTACATTTGGGTATTTTACTCAAATGTAACAATTTCTCCCCGTGATAATTTGTACACAAATGAAACCATTCGTGATTCATAACCATTCATTTGGCTAAAAAATTACTGTACATGTGCGTATGAAGCGCGAGTCTCTGGGCGCAAGTTGTCAAAGACAGATCATTCTATACCGAAATTCCTTCCCTTTCTTCTCTTTTTCTTTAGTTATTACGTGCTGTCATTTTCGATCATTTTCTTAATAGATTAGTTTTGTTCAAGGTGATGGGAAAGGTTGTACCTTTTTTGTTACGATATTGTGCACATTCAAACATAAAGAACGAGTTAGGATTCTATCTACTTTATAATTAAAATATTGTTATGTTGTTTTGTTGTGGATAAACGATCCACTAAAAGTAATTACCTGTTGAGTGTTGTTAAATTTAATATTTATTTAAATATGAAAAACTTAAAATATTGTTAACGATAATAGTTGTGATTGTTTTAGATAATCGTATTACATTAGCGATATACAGTACAAGTTCTTTTTGGGAAAATTTCTGTGCTTTGCCTTTGGCTTTTTTGTATTGAAAATTTGACAATTTAATATTGCACTCGTTGACATACTTCAAAAGTCGGGGCTTAACTCGAGCAACAACTTTTTTGTCAAACTTCGAGTTAAGCCCCGGGGCTTAACTCGAATGACCCAAATCGTGTTTCGTTCTTCGAGTTTAAGCCCTTTTGGAAAAAGGGTGTGGTCATGGCAAAACAGGGCGTGGTCGGGGCTTAACTCGAAAAGGGCTTAACTCGAGGGGCTTAACTCGAAGGGCTTAACTCGAAGATTCCCGACCTCATGATAACGTAATCTTCCGCAGTGTTTACAACGGTCAGTTACGTCTCTGTATGTATTATCTACTCTGTGATTATAACGACTGCATGACGACAGCTAAATAGCAAACATTTCTTGATTTGATGATTGATAAATTTCTTGCAAATATCACAAATATATTTCATTTTCGCTCGCATTTTCGCAAGATTTTGTAAATTTCAAGAAAGAAATAGCGAAAGAATCGGCTAAAAGAAGTGAGCCAACGTTAACGAAGGTAACTTTGTTTTAAATATTGATTTTATAATGGATTTAATTTAAAACCCGACGGCCTTTGCATATATGAAACAACTAAACAAGACAGCATATTATTTCCGTGTATCTTTAGTAATATTGATTCCCTTTTTTATGATATTGAATTTTTTAAATAAAAAAGAAAGCAGAGTTATTTGCAAGCGAGAATTCGAAGTCATTTTATTGCAAACTCAAAGTTTATCGATAAAGCCATTTTAAAAGTCAGTTTAGTTTTATAAAGAACACTAGTGACTTTAAAACGTTTTGCGAAGCGTTTGTGGTTGAATTTTACCTTAAATTGAGGCTTATATTACGTATAATAACATACCTAACATATATATGTTGGCAAATTAATAATTTTGTAATTAAAAGTGATATTTTTTAGGCGATTTTTCATTTGTAAGAATATTCTTAAAAAATTATCGTGTTACC